CCCCCCCCAATCCTCCACTGCGGTTCGCGGGCGCACGAGTATTTACAACGACGTAACGGCCGCTTACACGCGGTGATGATAAATCGAAGTTTCGGGTTTTTTTTCCCCCCCCTTCTTTTTCTGAACGGTCGTACTTGAAAATTACCTTTGGACGCGACTACGCCACTTAATCGTCCCGTAGCGTCCAGACGTTATTGTTGTCCCCCAACTACGGCGGCCGTCCGATCGCGGCCCCGCGCACCAGCCGACACCGTTGACCGGGTCCGTCGCATATTATAATACTGAATGCATAACACGCACGCGAGGACAGCTGAGGTTCAATAGACTTTTCGTCGGACTCGGGAAAACTACGCCGTCTAAGAGCGACGTTCGTGTTCGGCGCATTTTTTCCTTTGGGTCTTTTGTACATTTTTTTTTTTTTTAATAAATTGCGCGGTATTATTCGTATATACATTATTTTTATACTGTAGCGTGTTGTATTTTTCAAAGGAGTTTGTCTCGTTTTGCAGAACAATGGAATCCGTGCCGCATAGCCGACGTTGTGGCTTATTATTTATACGGGAAAAAATAATTTAGATTATCTGGATAGAATATAAATAAAAAAAAAAAAAAAAAAAGTTTCGCCCTCAGTAAAACACATTGAATAACTGCACTGCACGTTTTACTTTTGGTTCGAAGTTCGACGCCACTTCTAGGTACAGTGATTTGCACTATTCGCATTTAAAGAATTGTTTTAAACCGTTTCAATTTTCGTCTCTCCCTACCACAATGTTCCCGATAATTGGCAATTGGAAATCAAATTTCCTTTTCTTTTTTTTTTTTTAATTCACTTATATATTATCTTATCCGAGGTATTTTAAATGTTTACTACCGTGATCTGTATCTTTAAATGATTTCGGATCAATAAACTTTAATTTTTTTTCCAAGAGAAGTTTTACTTTTATAGCGTTTATTGTTTTACACGCGAGTGTAGTCGGATGAAAAACGCTATTACTTATCATAAACACTGTGTGTAATCACACACCGCGATTGATTCTCCACGTGTATATGACGGATTTTTTTTATTTTTGTTTTTTGTTTGCTATTGCGGGATCCGATCGAAATGAGATCAGATCACGGTGTACTATTATACAAATAATATTATATTGTATAACACAACCTCGCCGCGATAGTCCATCATTCGCTGCGTACGATTTTAATTACCTTAATTTGATAAACACGGTATTTTATAATGCGCGATGCTGGGCCATGTGGTCGGGTATAGCGTATTAAAAAAAAAAAAAAAAAATCCTATACAATAAACATACACTAATGGGCCATTAAACGATTCTATAATGTCATCAAATTAAATATAGACGTATATACATTAAATTTAAAAAAAAAAAAAAATAAATAAATAAATAAAATACCGAAAATTCCTCATCGCCTCCGCTGCGAACGACAGGATTCGTAACGCGCAGAAATACGCGAGTTTCCATTTATGGAACGGCTATAATAGCGTTAGAATATGTACGGGCCCGAACACTCATTTGTTATGGTAATTTTTGTTGGTTTTTTTCATCGTTACTGTATCATTATTATTACGATTATTATAATATAATTTCGAAAAATACACCTAATAATGTAATATAATTCATATTACAACATTTTCGTAACAGGTCGCTATTTTTTTTTTTTTTACAATTTTGTAACGCAAAACTATATACTAACTTATGGTACCGTATAGATTTATCGTTTGATACCGTCGAACCCCTAAATCGTTAGGTGAATTTCTTGAGATTTTCACGACTTACGGCCAACGACTGATTTGCAAAAATATATAGCATTGTATCACGCCAAAAATATAGTAGAGTAAACTAGAAAGAGTGAACCGCTATTGTTGCAGACGTTTTCAATTCAAATATTTTCCAAATTGCCTGAACGAATAATAATAAAATAAAAAAAAAAAAAAAAAATTGAAAACAAGAACATACGCGTTCGGACAAACGTGCATTCCAACGTGTAAAGTATGCAATTGTATTAAATCGTATTCTAAAACAACTAATTCAACGAGGGGAAAAACTGTGTCGGGAATGTTAGAATGTTAAAAAAAAAAATCCGCAAAACGACGTAAATATTTTAATTGAAAATTGATTATTAAAAATATCTGGACAGAGAACAAAAACGAACCGGTAGCGATGGCTCTATAGGAATATAGGACTTGTGACAGGCTTTTTACAAAACGAAATTCAACGAAACATTTCAAATGATTAGGGTTTTGAATAAAATGTATTAAAAAGAACAAAAAAAAAAGCAAAAAAAAAAACCACCACTGCCTAAAATATACCGATAAACGCATTTAAATTGAAGAAAACAATCACTAATATTGTGTCGATCTCATTATTCGATTGCGTTTATTTGAAATGAAGGCCCGTTCGCGATTGGATACCTACGGCCAACAATAGCCGATGATTGTTAGTTTTCGTTTTTTTTTTTTTTTTTCTCTCTCTCTCTCTCCGTGAATCGCGGTA